TTCTTGGAGGCTTTGTTCATTTCTTTTTACTCTTTTTTCTCTACACTTCTCTTCTTGCTTCATTTCATTCATTTGATCTTCAATTGCTGATACTCTTTCTTCCAGTTGATCAAGTCAGTTAGTGAAGCTTGTGCATTTGTCATGTAGTTCTCGTGTTATGGTTTTCATCTCTATCTGTTCTTTTAAGGACTTCTCTACATTGGTTATTCTAGTTAGCCATTCGTCACATCTTTTTTCAAGGTTTTTAGTTTCTTTGCACTTGTTACGTAGTTCTTCCTTTAGCTCTGAGAAGTTTGATCGACTGAAGCCGTCTTCTCTCAACTCGTCAAAGTCATTGTCCGTCCAGCTTTCTTCCGTTGCTGGTGATGAGCTGTGTTCCTTTGAGGGGGAGATGCGCTCTGATTTTTTGAATTTCCATCTTCTCTGCACTGCTTTTTCCGCATCTTTGTGGTTTTCGCTGCCTTTGGTCTTTGATGATGGTGACTTACTGATGGAGTTTTGGTGTGGGTGTCCTTTCTGTTTGTTAGCTTTCCTTCTAACAGTCAGGACCCTCAGCTGCAGGTCTGTTGGAGTTTGCTTGAGGTCCACTCCAGACCCTGTTTGCCTGGGTATCAGCTGTGGAGGCTGCAGAAGATAGAATATTGCTGAACAGCGAGTGTTGCTGTCTGATTCTTGCTCTGGAAGCTTCGTCTCAGAGGTGCACCCAGCCATGTGAGGTGTGAGGTGTTGGTCTGGGGGATGTCCCCCAGTTAAGCTACTCAGGGGTCAGGGACCCACTTGAGCATGCAGTCTGTTTGTTCTCAGATCTCAACCTCCGTGCTGGGAGATCCACTGCTCTCTTTCAAAGCTGTCAGACAGGGACATTTACCTCTGCCAAGGTTTCTGCTGCTTTTTGTTTAGCTCTGCCCTGTCCCTAGACCTGGAGTCTACAGAGGCAGGCAGGCCTTCTTGAGCTGTGGTGGGCTCCACCCAGTTCGAGTTTCCAGGCAGCTTTGTTTACCTACTTAAGCCTCAGCAATGGCGGGCGCCTCTCCCCCAGCCTCGCTGCCGCCTTGCAGTTAGATCTCAGACTGCTGTGCTAGCAATGAGGGAGGCTCTGTGGGCATGGGACCCTCCGGGCCAGGTGTGGGATATAATCTCCTGGTGTGCCGTTTTCTAAGACCCTTGGTAAAGCGCAGTATTAGGGTGGGAGTTATCCGATTTTCCAGGTGTTGTGTGTCTCAATTTCCTTTGGCTAGGAAAAGGAATTCCCTTCCCCCTTGTGCTTGCCAGGTGAGGCGATACCTCGCCCTGCTTCACCTCTCGCTGGTCGGGCGGCACACGCGGACCAGCATCAACTGCCCGACATGCCCCAGTGAGATGAACCCGGTACCTCAGTTGAAAATGCAGAAATCACCCATCTTCTGTGTCGCTCACGCCGGGAGCTGGAGGCTGGAGCTGTTCCTGTTCGGCCATCTTGCTGTAAACTTTCTTAAAACTTTATGAAACTTTTTTGCAAGTTTTTTTTTCCAGCTCATCAGCTATCATTATTGTTAGTGTATTTTATGTGTCGCACAAGACAATTCTTCTTCTTCCATTGTGGCCCAGGGAAGCCAAAAGATTGGATACCCCTGCTGTCTGTACTTCCTTTGTTGTTTTCCTGTGTTGAAATTTCATTACACAATATGTAGATTACACAATATGTAAATGAGTATACTTTCCTTCAGTTTCTAACGCAGCACTTCTTCATCTGGAGTAGTTGGTTCTAGGTGTGTCTATATGGGCATCAGTGGGTGGCAGTAACTGCAATAAAATATGCCATTTATGCATGGAAATTTTGCTAGAGAGGTTCGCAAAGATGTTCATGACTCAATAAAAGTTACATGCCACTGGCCTACTGATGCTATTTAGAAATATTGGTTACAATATTTCTATTATATTATAGAATAGATGTAATTCTATAATATAATAGAAATTATAATATATATATATAAATGGACTAAGGGTAGATCATATTGTATACTGAGGATGTGGGTTATTTTCCTTTTTTGATTAAAAGCAACTGAATTATGAAAGAAAAAATTCCTGTTTCCCCAATACTCACACCATTTCTGGTTTCCAGATATGTGTTTTTCTCAACCAATTCTCTGACACCAGTTGCATGTCCTACAATTTAATTCAATTCTGATACTAGCCACCTGGGGTTGGCACAGACCTCACAGGTCTCACAGGGTGAGGGCTCAGTCCCACAAGACTGGTCCCCACTCCAGACACCAGTAGCAAGTAGCGGGTCCCCAGGTTACCCACACTTCTGGTCAGCTCCAAGTCAGTGTTTCCACAACCCTTTCTCAGGTTCACTAATTTGTGTAACAGCTCACAGAACTCAGGAAATGTTTACCTTAGTATTACTCATGTATTACAAAGAATATTATAAAGGATACAAATTAATAGCCATATAGGGTGAGGCCCAGAATAGTCCAAGCACAGGAGCTTCTCTCTAACATACATTTGGGGTGCACCATCCTCCTGGCACATGAGTGCTGACCCAGAAGCTCCCTGAACCCCTTTAGGTGGGATTTTTAAGGCAGGTTTCGTTACAAAGACCTGGTTGATTAAATCATTGGCCATTGGTGATTAACTGTGCCCTCTCTGGAGGTTGGGGAGTGGGGCTGAAAGTTCCAGTCCTCTAATCATATGGTTAGTTCCCCAGCAACCAGCCCTCATCCTAGGGCCTTTCAAAAGGTCACCTCATTAACATAAACTCAGGTGTGGTTGAAGGGTCCTGTTAGGAATAACAAATACATATATTTCTTATGTCTGTAGGGAGGTTCAAACTTTCCCTCTGAAGTTTCGATGTTTGGTCTATAAAATAATCCAACAATAGATGAACAGGGGAAAAGACATGCAGATTTCGTTATATGTGCAAGAGCCACATGAGACTCAAAGAAGGGCCAGATGAGTGAAGTTTTATACTGTACAGAGGCGGGGAGGTGGGGAGAGGTTGTGGGAGGAAGAGGGGAGGAAACACATGGTGAGCAAAGGCTTTCTTGTGATGCAGATGAAGTCTGGCAGGCAGCAGCTCTCAGAGAGAATAGAAGCACCTCTGGTAACAGTTTCTCTATGATCCCTTTAAGATATCAGACTTTAGCCTCTTATTCCTGGGAGTTCATCTTTCCTAAATCTGGATAACGCAGATAAGGGGGTCTCAGAGCAAGCCTGTTTGCATCTGCTTTTTACTTCACTGACATAGGATTCCTCTGCAGATGCAAATATTCCCTACAAAAGGACTGCTTTCCAGAGCTACTCCTGTGTCTGCTGTCCCTCTGAATAACATCTCAAAATATGCCAAAGAAAGTGTCTTTTTGGGGTGACCTATTTTAGCTTTTTGCATATCACAATATCACAAATTATTACCAAGAAGTTTGCGAGGTTTGCACTGGTACTGAATCCACTATAGTTTAGCCTTGAAAGTTCCTAGCCTATATATGCTATTTATGTAGTTTTTTCTTCAAAGGAGTGTTAATATAACCAGATAAATCATTTCCCAGACATTGCTGGTTTTTTTCAGCAAAATATATTGCTGAAAAAAAGCAAAAATATATTGCTTACTTTTCAGCATTAAGTCGGTATCACTGACTTATTAGTTGCCAGTGACTTCTGTATAGAACTTAAGCTCAATATTGCTTTAGAAATTAGATCTTTATGGGTAACGATAAGGGAGAATAAATTAAAAGAGTATTTTTAGAAGTTAGATCTAAGGGGGAAAGAAGGTAAAATAATTTTACCTGGGAAGAGGTCGTTTTCCATAAAGGCACAGCAAGTTGTTCTTCCTCTGTGAGAAGCAACCTTATCAATGACAAAATTACAAGAGTTGGAATTAAGGAAAGTTCCGTCTCTCAGTTGTTGGAGAGGAAGCACCTGGTGGTGCAGTCCTCACCCTGCAGAGTGCAGACCATGTTCATGAATGGGCATCCCAGCACCAAGGTGGCTCTTCCTATGGTAGAAAAGAAGTATTGAATTTTTTGAATACAATGAATCAGCAAAATGGCCTTTTATAGAAAAAGGAAAACTCTAGGGACAGAAAAGAGATGAGGAGCTGCCAGGGCTGGAGGAAGCTACACAGGGGCACACAGGAACTTTTCAGGGTAAAGAGAATGTTCTGTGCCTTCACTCCAACAGTGATCACACAACTGTATACATCCCCTAAGACTCATCAAACTGTATATTTAAAAGGAGTGCATTTTACTGTATGCAGGTTATACCTCAATTTTAAAAATGATGTTCTTTGCAAGTCTTTTATTAGAAGCTATATGAATCTTTTTTTCTTTTTTTTTGCCTTTGCTGCTTAAACACAGATGATCCACAAGCTGGCAGCCCGAGCTCTAATCAGAGATTATGAAGATGGCATTCTTCACGAAAATGAAACCAGTCATGAGGTTTGTTCTTTCCATTGTAAAAACTATTAGACATTCTTCTTGAGCATTCTTACATTGATTTATCTGTGGAAATGGAAAGTGAGGTCAGCTGCGTGCAGACTGCGGCGTCAGGGCATTCATCACTGTATCTGTGACACTGTGCCCGGGATGGGGGGTGTGTGGTAAATGTTTGTTGAATGAATTAACAAAAGAGTGGATGTCAGTGGTTTCCGGAAAATTCTGTCATGTTTTACTCATCAGAAAAAGTCCGAGGAGGGCTCAGAGAACACTCGCTGAGTGCCTGTAGTGGATATCACCTCAGATCTCTCGTGTGGTAGCGTTAGTATTCCCATCTTACTGATGAGAGGCCTGAGTGTGAAATGCTGAGTGACCTGCCAAAGTCCACCCGACTCCCCCCGTGCTGTGCAGACCAGAGCCTCAGCAGAGGGGCCCCTCAGCCAGGCCACCGGGACTGCCCGCTGTTCTCTCAGGGATGAGATCTTCAACAAGGCTGCACGCGTTAGTCCTCAATGCCATCCCCACAAGAAGGTGCCAGTGTGACAGCAGGCCTTGGAGACCCCCCCAGTCAGTTCTAGTGACAGTCAGTCACCTGGTGGTCTCCCTATTCCCCTCAGATGCCCCTGGCTTGGCAGCCTCTGTGTGCTGTTTTGTTTAAGGCCGCTTTGTCCTGAACAAGTCATTGCGTCTTTCCAATTCCTCAGCTTTAAATGGGGAGCCACAGACGGTGAAAGAATGAGGAAGGCCACGGCCCGCGAGAGCTCTCTGTGAACCACAGGGAGCTGAATCATGGAGAGTGACAGTTTCTATGACTAAGTCGGTGCATCTCATTTTAAAGGAAATATTGAGCCACCGATTGAGATGGGACCTGCAATTCAGTATTCAGTCTGAAATATATGAATCTTAAGATGATTTATTGACATAGCTAAATAGAAACAAAACAGGACATGACTTATATTTTATTCTATCCTAGATGAAGAAACAAACCTTGAAATCTCTGATTATTAAACTCAGTAAAGAAAACTCTCTCATAACACAATTTACAAGCTTTGTGGCAGTTGAGAAAAGGGTATGTATTATTGTTAATTCGAGATTAAATTATTTTATTTATATTTTCACATTAAGAGAGTTACCCTTGCTTTGATGGTGAATGACGACCGCCACGCCCTGGGCCTGTGAAGCGTGGGGTGCAGACAGGCCAGCAGACCCCATGAGTCCCAGCCTCCCAGTCATGGGGGGCTTCGGTGTTGGGACTTACGGTGATCTTTCTAAATGACTTGAGTATGTTATCATTTTTAATGTTATAATCATTAAGCTAGCTAATGTGTATTTTTTAGATATACTATAATTTTGTTACAGTTTTGGCACTGATCGTCTTTTATTAATCCAAGACCCTCAAAAAATAGAAAAGGCCTGGTTTCCCTGAGGGCCCCTTCCCCTTCATAAGTTTAAGGAAAAATTCACCTAACGTGCCCAGCACAGTGGCCAGCACCTGCCAGCGCTCCGTAAAGAGGAAAGCCACTCCACCTCCCCACTTTCCCTCACGCTTGTGGCGCATGGCACACGCTCCATTCCCACACACCAGCATATCCCACACCAACACCCACAGGCTTTAGAGTGTGTAATCATCATTTAATTGGTTAACGTCTGTTTGATTTAATCTATTTGTGATTCAATATAGGATGAGAATGAGTCGCCTTTTCCTGATATTCCAAAAGTTTCTGAACTTATTGCCAAAGAAGATGTAGACTTCCTGCCCTACATGAGCTGGCAGGGGGAGCCCCAAGAAGCCGTCACGAACCAGGTAAACGCTGATCACCAAATAAGCTGATATTGTGCTTTTGTTTGTTCACGAAGATGAAGGGAACCCTTTGCTAAAATAGCTCCCTTAATACCTGTACCTGAAGAAGTTGTTGTATCCCTGATGATGGAAAATATTCACGCATTTATAAAATGTTGAATGACATCATGTTGCATTACAGAGACTTCACAGTGTATGAATGGAGCTGTGTAGACAGAGACTTCACGGTGTATGAATGGAGCTGTGTAGACAGAGACTTCACGGTGTATGAATGGAGCGGTTGTTAGGACAGAGACTTTCACGGGTGTATGAATGGAGCGGTGTAGGACAGAGACTTCACAGGCTGTATGAATGGCAGCTGCTTTGTGAGACAGAGACTTCACGGCTGGTATGAACTGGAGCTGTGTAGACAGAGACTTCACGGGTGCTATGAATGCTGAGCTGTGTAGACAGAGGACTTCACGCGCTGTATGAATGGAGCCTGCTGTAGACAAGAGATCTTCACGGTGTAATGATGGAGCTGTGTAAGGACAGGAGACTTTCACGGGTGTATGAATGGAGCTGCTGTAGACAGAGGACTTCACGGTGCTATGAATGGAGCTGTGCTAGACAGAGCACTTCACGGTGTCATGAATTGCGAGCTGTGTAGACAGAGGACTTCACAATGTATGGAATGGAGCTGTGTAGACAGAGACTTCACGGTGTATGAATGGAGCTGTGTAGACAGAGACTTCACGGTGTATGAATGGAGCCGTGTAGACAGAGACTTCACGGCGTATGAATGGAGCTGTATAGACAGAGACTTCACAATGTATGAATGGAGCTGTGTAGACAGAGACTTCACAATGTATGAATGGAGCTGTGTCGTACAAAAAGAGAACACCTGTGGCTACGCTTCTATCATGGGCAAATAGATTGTCAGCCAGGAAGCTAAAGTCATTTAGGTAGTGTAATAGGTTTGTCATGAAATTATCCATAAAGTGCTATCTAATAATCTAAATTCACCACCAATATTTCTTAAAGTTTATAGTGCTTTATACTGTGGCCCTTATAACCAGAAATATAATAGAAATTGAAAAATGTGGCTTAAATAAAAATTGGAAGACAAATTCAAAAGCAAAGGAACAAAGCAGTGCTGACAACACTCTTAGGCCTCTAGGTTAAAAAAACTAAAATTTTCAAAATTTAAACATTTAAAATCTGGTCAGGCACCGTGGTTCATGCCTGTAATCCCAGCACTTTGGGAAGCTGAGGTGGGAAAAATCACTTCAGCCCAGGAGTTTGAGACCAGCCTGGGCAACAAAGGGAGACTTCATCTCTACAAAAAGTTTCTGAGGGCAAGCGCAGTAGCTCACACTTTTAATTCTAGCACTTTGGGAGGCCAGGGCAGCAGATATCTTGAGCCCAGAAGTTCAAGACCAGCCTGGTCAACATGGTGAAACCCTGTCGCTACAAAAAAAATAACAAAAATTAGCTGGGCTTGGTGGTGCATGCCTGTAATCCCAGTTACTCAAGAGGCTGTGGCGGGAGGATGCTTGAACCCAGGAGGCAGAGGTTGCAGTGAGCCAAAATGGCACCCCTACACTCCAGCCTGGGTGACAGAGCGAGGATTTGATCATAAATAAGAAAATAATATATGAAAGATGTGCAGTCTCGTTGCTAAAAGAAGTTAAAATGTAAACTGCCATGAGATTCCTTTTCATTTTTTAACTGTGTCAGGTTGGCAAAGATCACAAAAGGTAGATGATTGAGAGGCAGTAAAATATAGTGGTTAAGAACACAGGCGCTATGGCCAACTGCTCAGGTCTGAACCCCAGCCCACACTTCACTCTGTGGGACTTGACCTTCCCTGTGCTCCAGTCCTAATGCGCTAGTGGGAAGAGCGATAAAATCCACATTAGGTGGTTATGAAGTTCTAAGACCGTTACAACACACGTCTAGCTTGTGGCAGACATTCGATAAATATTAGCTGTACTTATTATTCGCCAAGGCGTCTGAAATGGGCACTGTTGCCCAAACAGATGGGGCAGAAAGCTGACAAGTGGCCTTGGGTTTGCAGGGATACTTGCTTTTTTTTTTTTTTAATTTTAATTTTTTTTTTTTGAGATGGAGTGTCGCTCTGTCGCTCAGGCTTGAGTGCAGTGGCATGATCTCGGCTCACTACAACCTCTGCCTCCTGGGTTCAAGCAATTCTCGTACCTGAGTCTCCTGAGTTGCTGAGATTACAGGTGTGTGCCACCACACTCAGCTTATTTTTGTATTTTTAGTAGAGACGGGGTTTCACCATGTTGGCCAGGCTAGTCTCGAACTCCTGATCCACCTGCCTCGGCCTCCCAAAGTGCTGGGATTTCAGGTGTGAGCCATCGCCCCCGGCCTTGCTTTCTTACAGTGCACCCTTTTGTATATTTTGAATTTCGAACCATGGGCATGGATTGCCCATGAAAGAAAAATAATACTTTAAGCCAACACAAGCAAAGAGTTTGGGGAATCAGGAGAAGTAGGAGGTACATTCAGCCAGGCTCAGACAGCCCTGCAGGCTCACCCACAGGCAGGGCAGATGTTGGCAATATCGTGGGCTCCCACGCTGGTCCAGACTTCCAGGTCAGCCGGAGAGCGGGGGCTCAGGGCTGCTTGAAGGAAAGTGAGGGACCAAGCTGAGGGGCTGTGACCTGTGGCCTCTCTGTGACGGCACAAGGGGCCCTTCGAGTGCATTGTTTTGGGAAAAAAAAATCTGATGTATAATTAAGAATCAACTGTTTGTCCTTGAAACAAGAGAGACTCACTATTAAAATGGGCCCTGGAAAATACATACTTACCTTATATGTGTTTCAAAAACACACACCCAGAAGCAGCTCTGAAAATGGAGATGGTCATGGTTGCACAACAGTGTGAATGTGCTTCGTTCCACTAAACTCTAAAATGACTAAAATAGCAAACGTTGTTATATACATTTTTCCCACAATAAAAATTAAATTAACAGAGTAAGAGATATGCCCCTACGCTCTGCCACACACATAAGTACTTTGTTCACCACAAAGGTCCGGAGGGATGTATGCCAGAGATCAGATATAACATTCTGTATGGTGTTTATTTTCTTCTTTGTGTCTGTCTACTTGTGTCTGCTTGTATTTTCTAATTTTCTCATAGTGCACATGTGGTGTTTATAGATTTTTTTTTTTTTTTTGAGACAGGGTCTCACTCTGTTGCCCAGGCTGGAGTGCAGCAGCACGATCATAGTTCACCACAGCCTCGACCTCCTGGGCTCTAGAGATCCTCCTACCTCAGACTCCCAAGTAGCTGGGATTACAGGAGTGAGCCACCATGCCTGGACTGTTGATAGAAATTTTTGGAGTTATTTGGTTCTAAATTAATTTACGTTTTAATACAGTGTGGTGATAAATTATTTCATACTACATTTGCAAATACTTTGGATCTTAATACTTGCAGATCCAAACATATCGGATGAAAAATATTATCAATTAGCTTGATGACTTGAAAGTTTATATTTATGTTAGCTGCAATAATTTTTTTGAATGGACCATCTAATTTAGCAAAAATGTCAAGCCTCTGTTACTCTCCCTCAGTATCTGTTTTACCAAAATGTGGCACCTGCAGCATTCCGCATGGAGTCATTCCACCGAATTCACTAACAGAAGCCACAGCCACAATAGAGCCCGGGACAACCGGGTCTGCGTGGTCCTTCCCGACTCACTGAAACTTGGGGCATTTCCTTATTTGATACGTCTTCATTGTGAAATGAGACCTTCCAGGGACTGCAACACCTTTTCTGCTGGGACGCGCTCAGCAAGAACAGCACTGTGTGCTGGGTGCTTGTGTCCTCCCGCAGCTACCCCTGGGCTTAGGCTCAGTGTCTTCTACACCAACCCCAAGTCCACTTTGTTCCCTCCCGCTCATGAAAGCACATTGAGAAGACGCAAGAGGCAGAGATTTTTAAAACCTAGCTCCTAATCCAAGTTTTTAAAGTAAATCATTTGTAAAATTCAATGCTATAACTCTTAGCAAGAAACTGAAGGCACTGAAGCTGAGGGTCCAGAGCCCACGCTGTTCCTTAAATCAGGGGTCTCCAACCCCCAGTCTGTGGCCTGTGAGGAACCGGGCTGCACAGCAGGTGAGGGGCGGTGAGCGAGCATTACCGCCTGAGCTCCGCCTCCTGTCATGTCAGCAGTGGCAGTAGATTCTCATGGGAGCCCCGAACCCTGTTGTGAACTGCGCATGGAGGGGTCTAGGTGCTCCTTCTGAGAATCTAATGCCTGATGATCTGAGGTGGAATCATTTCATCCCAAAACCATCTGCCCCACCCCTGTCCATGGAAAAATTGCCTTCCATGAAACCAGTCCCTGCTGCCATAAAGGCTGGGGGCCACACCTTAGGTGATCAAGGTGGGGAAGGGAAAGAGGAAGCAAGTGAGTGATTTTGGCCAATAGAAGAATCATAATGAAGCCAGGCACGGTGGCTCACACCTGTAATCCCTATACTTTGGGAGGCCAAGGTGGGTGGATCACCCAAGGTCAGGAGTTCAAGACCAGCCTGGCCAACATGGTGAAACCCTGTCTCTACTAAAAAATACAAAATACTATCCAAGAAGCAATTTTATAAAATTAAACAAAAATAACCCATATTTCTCAGTATGATTTTTTTTTTTTTTGAGATGGAGTCTTGCTCTATCACGCAGGCTGGGGTACAGTGACTATTCACAGGCTCTATCACAGAGCACTACAGCTTTGAACTCCTGGCCTCCAGCGATCCTCTCACGTCAGCCTTCTGAGTAGCTGAGTAGCTGGGATGCTCCACAATACCTGACTTAATCAAATTTTTGATCTTTGCAAATCTTACAGGTGAAACATGTGTTGGTTGGTGACTTGTAAGTTTTTGTCTCTTTATGAATGAAGAGGAGCATGTTTTATATTCTTACAGCCCTATGTGTCCCTTCCTGTGTGTTATCTGTTCATGTCTTTTATCTTTGCATTGAGATTTTAGTCATTTTCTTATTTATCTTAGGAAAACTTTCTCTGTTAGAGAAATTAGCCCTTTGTGCTATGAGTTGTGAAGTGTGTTTCCCAGTTTTCCACGTGTTATTTTGATGTTGCTTATTATCTTTTTGTCACGCAGATTTTTTAATGCAGTCAAATTTTTAATCTTTGTGTTTTTTCTTTTTGTTTAGTGTTGTTTTGCTTTTCATCATGCTTAGAAATACCTTTCCTAGTCAGAGATTATACTTTAAAATTTTTTCCCACTATTTCTTTAAATAGTTTTATGTTTTCATGTTTACATTTAATTTTTCATCCGATTGAAATTTATCCTGGCATAGGATAAGAGATATGGAACCAACGTTTTTCGTTTCCAGATGACTACTCCTTTTCCTCCTGTTGACTTGAAATGCCACCTTCATAATGTAGTAATTCTCAGTTTTAGGAGCTATTGCTGGACTTGCCTACTCTGTTCCTTGATTCATCTACTATAATTATTGTAATTTTATAAGAGACTTTAATATCTGATAGTTCTAGTCTATCACTATTAGTCTTTTCCAGTTTGCCTCTCTAATTTTTAAAAATTTAACCTCTGGTTAGCATTATTTTTAAATACATCTTTTCATATGTTCTATAATATTAATTATTCAGATGTATACTTGAAATTTGACTGAGTTGGGAAAGGACTATTCCTTTTTTAAATAGTTCATATTCACAGGTAAAATTACAGGCTAATTATTTCAAAAATATCAAGGACTTGTCATCCATATAAAACTGGATTTTAAGACCGGGCATTGTGGCTCAAGCCTGTAATCCCAGCACTTTGGGAGGCCGAGACGGGCAGATCACGAGGTCAGGAGATTGAGACCATCCTGGCTAACACGGTGAAACCCCGTTTCTACTAAAAAATACAAAAAACTAGCCGGACAAGGTTGTGGGCGCCTGTAGTCCCAGCTACTCGGGAGGCTGAGGCAAAAGAATGGCGTAAACCGGGGGGGTGGAGCTTGCAGTGAGCTGAGATCCGGTCACTGCACTCCAGCCTGGGCGACAGAGTGAGACTCCATCTCAAAAAAAAAAAAAAAGAAAAAAAAAAAAAAGGCTGGATTTTATACATGCAACTTTTAAAGGAACACTCTTTACATTTAGATTGAAACAATAATAGTAATACAGCATCCCTCAAAATTTGTTTTGCATACATATTGTTAATATTCTGGTATAATTATATGTTCATTTAATTACTTTAAAGCTTTTGGCTGGACAGTGTCTCATGCCTGTAATCCTAGCACTTTGAGGGGCCAGGCTGAGACGATCACTTGAGCCCAGGAGTTCAAAACCAGCCTGGTCAACATAATGAGACCACATCTCTACAAAAGAATGGGCGTGGTGGCATATGCTCATAGTCCCAGCTACTGGGGAGGCTGAGGCGAGAGGATCGCTTGAACCCAGGAGTTCGAGGCTATAGTGATTGTGATTGCGTCATTGCACTCCAGCCCCAGGCAACAGAGCAAGACTCTGTCTCAAAACTAAATAAAGCTTTTGAGAACGTTCTTCCATTTTCTCATTTTCTTAATATTGCTGTAAAGCAGTGTAAAAGACCGGAATAATTTACTTCAAATGACTGTCTTGTTTGAGGCCTAACTTACACACTGTGATACTGCTCATTGTAAAATCTTGGGCAAGCCACTTCTGTGCTCCGCAGTTCGCTCCTGTGTAAAACGAGGGGTGTTTAAAATTCCACAATTCTAAGAACTGCGAGAGAAGTCTTTCAATATATTGATTGCTGATATTCTTTCCAGGTCTCAGCTTCCACGTCTAGAAAAAGAGGGCCTTGTACTAAAATGATGTTGAATGTCTCTGATGGCATTATTTTCTCTCTCTCTCTTTCTTTTTTGAGACAGAGTGCTGCCCTCTCACCCAGGCTGGAGAGCAGTGGTACAAATCTGCCCTCATAGCTGCCTCAGCTTCCCAGGCTCAAGCACTCCTCCTGCCTCAGCCTCCCAGATGGCTGGGACTATAGGTGTGAGCCACGACACCTGGCTAATTTTTTATTTTTTGTAAAGATGGAGCCTCACTATGTCACCTAAGCTGTCCTCAAACTCCTAGCCTCAAGCGATCCTTCCTCCTTGGCCTCCCAAAGTGCTGAGATTACAGGCGTGAGCCGCCGCACCCAGCACTGGTGTTATTTTCAACATCCCAGCTCACATCGATGATCCTGATTCTGGATGAGCAACTGCCTGGTGGGTGGGAAGTCAAGTGCTAGGAAGAATGTTTGCTTGATTGTGCTTTTTATTCTGTGTTTTCTCCTTACATTACTAATTCTCTCTTCTGGGCAGTCTCTTTTAGCATCCTCTGACTGGCAAGAAGTACGTTCATCCAAACGGGCTAAAAGAAAAATGAAATTATCTCAGCCAAAAGTTTTTGAAGATGTTGAAGAGGATGGCTTAGATGTACTACCAGCTTTTACATCAAGTTTGAAATGTGAAGGTGTGGAAAAGCTGTTGGATTTAAGTTGGACAGAGTCATGTAAACCAACAGCAACTGAACCACTATTTAGGAAAGTCAGTCCACTGGAAACATCTACTTCTAGCCTTTTTCGTGTTTCTGCTCCAGCCTTTGGTTCCTCTCTTCCCCCGGCTGCCCGCTCTTACAGTCCTGCTTCCATGCCTTTTGCCTCCCATGGTCAGGGAGCTGGTTTTGGTTTTGCTCCTCCTCCCAGACAGTTGGCTGCATCTCTATTCAGCCAAGGCCCTGTGCCTGGCAGTTGTGCTGACTGGATCCCACAGTCGGCATCTCATCCCACAGGACCTCTCCAGAAAGTACCTTGTGTACCCTTCTGTGGCTTTCCTTTTTCAGGGGGCTCATTGAGCTCCACACAGCCTGCTCCGCCACCACTTCCTGGAGGCTATACCCCCAGGCCTTCTGCTGACACCTTCCCTGAGCTAGATTCTCCCCAGCTTCATTTCTCTCTTCCTACAGATCCTGATCCCATCAGAGGTTTTGGGTCTTATCATCCCTCTGTTTCCTCTCCTTTTCATTTTCAACCTTCCGCAGCCTCTTTGACTGCCAACCGTAGGGTGCCAATAGCCCCTGCCTTACCTAAGACTCTTTGCAGTCAGTCCTGGACTACCCCAGTAGATCTCTGTCTTCTAGAAGAATCAGTAGGCAGTCTCGAAGAAAGTCAGTGCCCTAACTTTGGTTTTCAAAGTTCTGAAACAGAAAGTCATGAACTATCAGAAGTGCTTCTAGACAGCTGCTTTTTACAAATAAAATGTGATACAGCAGATGACAGTATCCCATGCTTTCCGGAAGTAATAGAGGAGGATGAAATAGTGTGCACACAACAATGGCAGGATGCTGTGCCTTGGACAGAACTCTTCAGTCTACAGACAGAGGTATGTGTCTTATTTCTCCTTAAATCTGTGATTAGCTGGCTTCATAGTTTAGAACAGTGCTACTCAAAGCAGCCGGTCAAGGAACTGTCTATCGTCAGTCTATAATGAAGTAAGGGGCTTGTGCACTGGGGTATAAGTCATACTGCTTCTTTCATTGAGGAACTCTTGCTACAAAACAAAACAGACAGCTGAACAAAACAGTGTGCTTGATGCTGGCTGGTGTTTCTCTACCAACATTAGACCAGAACCTCATGCTGGTGAATGTTACTATTCCTCACATGAAAATGAACATCCCCGAACAGATGATGGGGTGAAATCTTAATTTCCCAGATTCTAGAACTAATGGATTGTAATCCATTTAAATTTCCCACTGTGAAGTACAGCACAAGCACTTGTACATATACTCTAAATATTTTCACATAAGGTCATGGGAATACAGCTATTGTTCAGCATGTATATTGTGTTAGAGCTTATCATTCCGTTTGTTATGCTAATAAACACCCTGTAGATTTGGCTTCTGCACTGGTACTAAGACCCAATCTTGCACCTGCGATTATTTGTCTTGATGTAAAGTCGTTCAGTGAAATGGAAAGGCCTTGATGTAGCATAAAAGTAAGTGTGAGTCCCAGCCCACTTTGTGATTTGGGGCAAGTCAGGTAACCTGTCTGAGCCTCAGTTTTCTCATCCATATAGTGGAGATAATGATAGTGTCTACTTCACAGAGTGGGTTTGAGGTTTAAACAGGATAATGACAGCTGCCTAGTTTCCCTACTTGAGACAGTGCACGCACAAGCCTGCCGCGAGCATACTGCCGGTGGTCAAGAGTGTGGATCCCATGGCCACTCCTGGCTCTGCTGCTGGTTAGCTATGTGACTTTAGACAAATTGCTTCACCTTTCTGTGCCACCATGTTCTCATCTCCAGTGTGGGTGTGATAATAGTTGTTGGGGCGATCAGACCCAACACCAGGTCATGGGGGTGACAAAGTCTGGTGGAGTCAAAGGATTGAGAAAAAGACAGTTTGAGAGAGAAAGGTGAGACACCAGTGGGCCATCGCTATCATGGAGGCTGTGAAGGCCTCGAGCTCTGGGAGCCCACAGTATTTATTGGTAATCCAACAAAGAAACAGGCGGTGGGAATGTGGAGGTCGAAAGGACACGTTGCATTAAGCACATGATTTACAGCTGTGATGGTTTAGCATTTATATGGAACATGTTCTGCTACTTGAGATAATGGGAATAGGAGCCTAGGAAGGCTAGAAGCAAGGAGCCAGCAAGGCTAGACACATTCCAGAGGACATTATGCAAGCCCTGCCTCAGTTTCCCTCCCAGTACTCAGCTTTTTCCCAACAATAGTGCTCCGCAGGAAGTGGCTAAACGTATAAAAGAACAGCACTTGGTACCAGTTCTCTATGGGTTGGTACATACTATTACTGCTGTCATTTTTCAAGGTATTGCCATAGATTCTTCAACTTGTGCACCTGCCTAGGGCCACACCCTGCTTTCTGCTCCCTGTGTTAGTTTCCCTAGGGCCTGGATTCTGTCTCCTTTGAGGTTAATATTCCCAAGCTCAGGCTTAGCATACCCTCCTCTGCATGTGATGGGGCAGGCAGATGATGGGGGGTGCAGGGAAGGTAGTTTTAAAGTACATGTTTAATGTAACAATTTTATACTTAGAAAAAAACTGTCATTTTCTTATTTCAGACTACATCAGGGTACATTTTTAGGTTAAACAAAAGGAATCATGCTGGAGGTCATAGGCCTGTATAATACAGGGCCTATGACTGACAATCCGATATGGTATACTTAAACATTTGCTAAGAGGTCTATCTTATCTTAAGTACTCTTTCCACAAAAGGGAACAAAACAAAACAAAAGGGGTGGAAGAAAAGTTCTGAAAGTGGTGGCTGAGTTTATGGCATTGATAAGTGATGGTTTGATGGTTTCGCGGGTGTGTACTTATCTCCAAACACATCAAGTTGTATACATTAAATATTGGTGACTTTTTGTAGGTCAATCATATTTCAATAAAGTGGGATTTTTTTAAAGAGGGACTCATGCTATTTAAAAGTTTGAGAAATACTGGTTCAATGCTCATTGCTAGTTGACAACACAGTAGGGTGACTATAGCTAACAATACATTGAATACGTCAAAATAGCTAGAAGAAGATATTTGAAATGTTGCCAACACAAAGACATCATAAATGTTCAAGGCGATGGAAATCCTAAATACCCTGACCTGACTATTTCACATTCTATGCATGTATTAAAATTTCATGTGTACCCCAAAATACGTACAAGTATTATGTATCAATAAAAAATGAAATAAAGCATTGCTAGAAGAAAAAAAAGTACCACTTAAAACAATCTCTACACATGAGCCTCTTCCCACACTTTTTATAAATGCCAGCAGATATGTAGTATTCATAGCATTTATGAGGTGCCAACCAATACTATGTCACTAGTGTATGAAGAACTTTATTTTACAGTAATAAAAATATTAGAAACGCTTTAACTGAAATTAAGTTAATGGAAACTTGTATTTATCACATAACTTCTTTTTTCATTTAATTTGTTAAAATTTTATTTTAGATGCAGAGGTACATGTACAGGTTTATTACATGGGCATACTGTGTGGTGCTGAGGTTTGGGCTTCTAATTATCTTGTTGCCCAAGTAGTGAACATACGTTTTTCAACCCTTGCCTCTCTCCTTCCCCCACTACATAACTTCTTATGTGATAAAATGTGAATAATATAACTTGCATTCGTTTTCTTAATTTTGTAGGATGGCTTCTGGAAACTTACACCAGAACTGGGACTTATATTAAATCTTGATACAAATGCTTTGCACAGCTTTCTTAAACAAAAAGGCATTCAATCTCTGGGTAAGTCACTATCTTCCATTTATTAAGTCATTATTTTCACTCATTCATAAGCATGCTCCTAATTGTTATAAACTATTTTGTAAACTAGTGTACTAATGTAATAATTCTGAAAGTTATATTTGAATGGAATTATATTTAACCATCAAAGGAAATGGGAGATGGGTTTCTAGTCATATTTTTGCCACTAATTAGGGTATTATCTGAGCAAATTTATTAGCATAAATAGCACCAACTGCTATAAAAAAAATCTCAGAAGCTTAACATAATCAAAGATTACTTTCTTGTCCCTATCACAGTAAAATATCAGTCAGGAAGAAAGTTCCACTGATGTGGTCATTTAGAGACCTTGACTCCTTCCATATTGTGACTCCCCCATCTTCAATATATGTCTTTAAAATTATGCTGGTAAGAGAGAAGAACAAATATTACCCTGGCATCGTCCCCCTGCTAGACAAGAGGAAGAACACTAGTCACACAGCCCCATCCATGTACGAAGGCCTGAGAAATGTACAGTTAAGCTGTGTGTCCAGGAGGAGAAAACAGCTCTGATGAGCACCTAGCCAGCCTCTGCCAGAGGCAGTTGTTCAACCTCTGGATCTGTTTCCTGTCATGACAACACAGGGGATAGGTGAGGAAGTCCTGAGCATCCTTGACCCAGCAAGTAGTTTAAAGGTCAAATGCTAGACCTAAGACAGGAGCTGTTTGTTTGTTTGTTTTGAGACAAGGTCTGGCTCCATTGCCCAGGTTGGAGTGCAGTGGTACTATCTTGGCTCACTGCAACCTCCACCTCCCAGGCTCAAGGGATCTTCCCACCTAAGCCTCCTGAGTAGCTGGGACTACAGGCACCTGCCACCATGCCTGACTAATTTTTGTATTTTTTTTTTGGTAGAGATGGGGTTTTGCCATGTTGTCCAGTGTGGCCTTGAACTTGTGAGCTCAAGCAATCTGCCCACCTTGGCCTCCGAAAGTGTTGGGATTACAGGCATGAGCCACTGTGCTCAGCCTGGAGATTTTTTTTTAATAAAATACACATTATTAAACAACTAGCCAATATGCATGGATAGACAGAACAGCAGTGTCTCACTGGCCCACCATCACCTCTAAAATGCCAGAGTTTTCATATTCCAGGCTGGGTGGGTGGGCAAATGCATAACCTGTTTGACGTGACCTGCACTGGGCCGAAAAGGAGTGATGACAATTTACTTGAGGAGTGAGTGTTTGTTCCTGGAATAATAGAAGAGCCTGTATCTGACTAACTCTCCTGCCAATAACAGTTATTAACTTTGAATAAAATGTTCAAAACCATTCTTTGAAGGCCAGGAGAATAATCAAAAACAGGCAGAAACTAGAGTGAACATAATCTTTGAAAGAAAGCAAGCCAACTAGGTGGGCTCTACGTGTATCCAGCTTGTCACCTAAAGGCATTTCTCAGCTCATGAGACACAGTGGGAGGTTTGAACTAAAACAGGAAGTCTTTCTGGGATGAGGACATGGGGTTGGAGTTTGAGGTTGCCGAAGTGGCTGGAAGTTAAGGATTAAAATCCTATAAAGGAGGGAACCACAGAGCAGGGAGCTCTGAAATCTGCATCCAAATGCCCCTCAGATCCTTGGCTCTCTCCTAACCTATACATATACAGGGCGCAACCTCAAGGAATCCAGAAAAAAGCAACAGCTGGGAAGCTACAGAGCTAACCAGAGATTGCAGCTGCTGCCTAGTACTGGCCAGAGTTCAGAGTTCAAGTTGCACCAAATCAGACTTTATGAATATCTTTCCATTGAAACCGTAAAAGGGTCATAAGGATCATATCTCATGATCAAGGACTATACCCCAGGACAAAGGGATAAGCCAAAATAGACCCATCCTAATAAAGCCTAAAACAAAGCGTACACAGGATCCACCAGAACAAAACTGAACACTCTTTAGAGTAAGATAGCATAGCTGAGAGTCTCTACGAGGTGTCATTTTTAATGTTCAGTATGGAATGAAAATTTAATAACATACGAAGAAGCAGGACAACATGACTTGTGATCAAGGGGAAAATGGGCTATAAATGCTGACCCACAGATGACCCAGATGTTAGAATTAGCAGACACAGACTTTAAAACTGCTTTTTAAAATATAGTGAAGGATTGACTTACCAGAAAAGGATGGAATGGGTGAATAAATGGCAGAATCTCAGCAAATAGATGGAAACTATAAGGAAGAACCAAATGGAAATCCTGGAACTGGAAAATATAGTATCTGCAATGAAAAGGTCATTGAATGAGCTTAACAACAGAATGGACAAAACACGAAAAAAAATCATTTAATTCAATTGACAATGTACTCAATAAACTTATCTAAACTGAAATATAGAAAGAAAAAAATAGAATGAAAAATGAACAGAGGAGCCAAGACTGTGGAATGATATCAAAAGATTTCACATTTGTGTAACTAGGGTTTCAGAAAGTGAAAGGGTAGACAGAAAAATATTTGAACACTTTTGTAAAATTGATCAAAAACAGCACCTTCCAGATCCAAGAAACTCAGCACAACTCCAAGCACAATAAATACAAAAATGACCACATTTAGATAGGCCAGAGTCAAACTGTTGAAAACCAAAGATAAGCCAGGCACGGTGGCTCACACCTGTAATGCCTGCACTTTGGGAGGCCAAAGGGGGCAGATCACTTGAGCTCGGGATTTCGAGATCAGCCTGGCCAACATGGTGAAACCCCATCTCTACAAAAATACAAAAATTAGCCAGGCATGGTGGCATGTACCTGTGGTTCCAGCTACTGGGAAGGCAGAGGTGGGAGGATCACCTGAGCCCTGGGATGTTGAGGCTGCAGTGAGCCATGATTGTGCTACTGCACTCCAGCCCAGGTGACAGAGTGAGATAAAAATTCAAGATAAATATATTGTCACTTGAGGCTGGAGCTCAGGGAAGAGGTCAGAATTGGAAAAGACTGGGAGAATTCTCAACGTGAGTAGTATTTAAAGCCTGGCTCTGGATGAGGTCACCCAAAGAAAGAAGGTAGTCTGAGCAGAGCAGGTGCTAGGACCAGCCTGCCACACGACAGTGTTTAGTGTTCAGACTGGACAAGAAACAGCAAAGACGCTGAGAAGGAGCGGACTGAGAAACAAGAGGAAAACTGGAGAAAATTGAGTCACAGATGCAAAGGGATGGGATTTCATGGATGTAACTTTTCCATGGGCTTTTCCTGTGTTTCTCTGTATTGCTGTGTATTGTCCGTGTTATTTTTCTGTAAGCATGTGCTTTTCGCCTTTCTTCCTCTACATAGTCTCAAGCTGTCTGATTTTTTTCTCCGACTTGTTTTTATATCTGTACCCAACTTTGTCTTTTGTCCTCTTCTTCGTTTCTCTTTTATCATCCCTTCCCCTTCTGAATTTGTTTTTTAAGTGATGCTGATACACATTAGGCATTTCATCAGTTTACTATTTATTATATTATTCTTGGAGTTGTATGTTGCTTATTATGAATATTGCTTAAAAATTAGTCTAACATTTTGTAAATAATACCCAAAAAATAAGCCACAAAAGAATCTAGCAAATTAAACTGCTTTGTCTCCATTGATTTTTCTTTTTTGGGACAATGGCTTGGTCTTGTTATTTTGTTTTTAAAAATTTATTCAATTCCTTTTTTCTCTACTAAGAACATTATATTACTTAATAAAAGCCCTCTTATGAGCAGTTTTGGCTACCTCAACGATGTAAAATTAATGGTGTATATGCAGATATGTGCATACTCTGCAAGGTCCTTTTGTCTTTTCTCAAAGTAATTGTATATTCTTAATTATAAGACAGAGATTTGGGGTTTTTTTTCCTTCCCTAAAACCATTTTTTGGCTGTGTGCTGTGGCTCATGCCTATAATCTCAACACTTTGGGAGGCCAAAGTAAGAGGATCACTTGAGTCCAGGAGTTGGAGGCTACAGTGAGCTCTGATCACACCGACTGCACTCCAGCATGACAGAGTGAGCCCCTGTGTCTCCAAAAACAAAAAACAAACAAACAAAAAAAGCTGCTTGCATTTTTTAAATAAAAATGGGTTGTTAATTCTGAGTTCAACACATGTAAACATTCATTTTTCAATTTTGATATTTTGTAATATAGTAACATATCTTGGATACCTATAGGTACTAACCACTAGAAATAATTTGATACACCAGTGTAACTGGTCATATCTGTTGTTTATCTGTTGAATATTTAAGTTTACTCTTCTAAGCTATTTGTAACAGGAGCCTGAAAACTGGATTTCTTTCATTGAACTTCATGGCTCTCTGTGTGAAGATGGCAAGCAAGGGGCACTCTGGGTACAGTCCAGTTTCCTGATGACCATCAGGATAATATGATAGGCACATGGTTCCAACCGTCCTCATTTTTTATTTAAATAGCAGGCTAATTAAAGACCTTGAAGAGTATTAGAGAGTTTCATGATCTGCTCATGTACTGTGATTTAACCATATTATAATTATTTAATGGGAATTTTATAAACAGGCACAGTTTGAGATGCAGAATTTCCAATAGACTTAATGGAGTTTGTTTCCTTTTAGGTGTAAAAGGAAGAGAACGTCTCCTGGACCTAATTGCCACAATGCTGGTACTACAGTTTATTCGCACCAGGTTGGAAAAAGAGGGAATAGTGTTCAAATCACTAATGAAACTGGATGACGCTTCTACTTCCAGGTGGCTTTAACTATAGTATTATGTAACTTATTTATATTTTCAACTATTTATTTAATAAACCTTACAAACAGCTATAGGGAATTATCTTACATGTGTAGACTACTTTATAAGTATGTAGGAAGAGAATTTGTTTGCAGGTGACAGCTTGCCCACAGTCTCCTGTGGCGGGCAGGGCTGATGTGGTGTTTGTACCTTGGGCTGCACAGGAAACAGGCTCAGAGAGTTTTAGTGCAGCTCCCGCTGCAGCCCGTTGCTTCTGGCTCTGGATGTGGTACCCTTCGCTGCAGTGCGCTGATCCTGGGCGCCTCCAGAGGACCCACAATATGACTGTTGGGCCCAGCCCTGTTCCCAACAATGGCAGGGCCTGAGATAAGAATACAAATGGAAACCCACATACTATATGTCTAAGTATTTAAAAGTTATAAATCAAATTAGCAAACTATTAGATTAAATGTGTTCTAATCGCCTACCTTGGCAAATACAACTTCATAACCACCTAGAAGGCCAGGTTCAAATTCGGCCCTTGGCTGACCCCTAGGACCCGAAGAGGCCTTGCATGCACACATGAATACCCCACCCTACCCATCAAAATGCCATCCAGACCCCATGCCAGTGCCCCCTCACCCCAGCCACCTTGCAGCACCAGTGAGATAGCAGCACTGTTCAAACTCAGGGTGACAGACCCAGGGAAGACCCTGAAAGTGGACTCAGGGCCATGTGGTCAGGGACGCTGGAGTTGCAGGGTCTGAACAGGAGGATATGGGCTCTGGGGTGGGCACATTCTCTTGTCCCTGCAGACCCCCACCCCATGGCGAGAGGGGCAAGACCAGAGCAGGATCCCTCTGACATACATATATATATATAAGTATATACATACACATATGCACATACATACACATATACATACACATGTAATTGGCTTATGTTTTTTTAAAGGCAAGATAAGGGGAAAACTAATCAAACTAATAAAAATATTATTGCAAGGGGGCTTTGGCGGAGGGGACAAGGATGGAAGCTCGGTTTCTCCTAGTGTGCTTTGTTTTGCAGTGTTGACTTTGGAACTATGTAAATATTTTACATAATAATGGATAAGATTGATATTTATTTCTTTATTTTTTTATTGAGATCATCTGGCTCTGCCGCCCAGGCTGGAGTGCAGTGGTGCAATCTCAGCTCACTGCAACCTCCGCCCCCTGGGCTCAAGCCATCCTTCCACCTCAGCCTCCTGAGTACCTGGGACTACAGATGTACACCACCACACCCTGCTAGTTTTTGTAAAGACGGGGCTTCACCATGTTACTCAGGCTGGTCTCAAACTCCTGAGCTCAAGCAATCCTCCCACCTCACCCTCCTGAAGTGCTAGGATTACAGATGTGAGCCACCGTGCCCAGCCTGGGTATTAATTTAAGGTGACTTAGTACATAATTTGACTATATCTCACCAGTGGGATAGTACCTAAGGATTAAAAAATATTATGAAGAAATCTCACTGGGAGTAGCCATGGTGTTAATAATACTTTTGATTTGTTATTTTGGAAGGTAGATATTAATGTTGTTAGAAACTAATATGTATAAAATCAAATAAGTTAAACAAAACCCCTTGATTTCTAAACTTGAACTAGATCAGAGAATAGAGGAACATGTTACATGACACCATGCAAATGCAGTCAGCAGTCTGAAATGTGGGGAAATAAATGGCAAGAGAAAAATAAATGGCAATAGAAAAAAAAAGGTTGAGGATCAGAACCTGTAAATAAACCTTTAGAGACATATCAACCAAAAGCAAGGGTAGACCTTGTTTAGATCCTGATATGAACAAAACCCACTGCATTTTAAAAAATGAGACAGGGAAAATTTAATTAAATTTAATTAATTTAATTAAATTTAATTAAATAAAATTTAATTTTTAATTGTTTAATTAAAAATTAAAACAATTTTTAAGTGTCATGATTAAGAAAAAGTTCTCAAACACAAAACAGGTGTTCAGGAAGTTCTGGGCTAGGCAAATTGGCTCATGCCTGTAATCCAAGCACTTTGGGAGGCTGAGACGGGAGGATCACTTGAGCCCAGCAAGATCAAGCCCAGGAGTTTAAGACCAGCCTAGGTAACCAATGAGACCCCCATCTCTACAAAAACCTTTTTAAAATTACCCAGGCATTGCTGGGCATAGTGGCTCACACCTGTCATCCCAGCACTTTGGGAGGCCAAGGCAGGAGGATTGCTTGCTTCCAAGAGTTCAAAACCAGCCTTGACCACATAGAAAGACCCTGTCTCCACAAAAAAATTAAAAATTAGCCAAATGTGGTAGTGTGTGACTACTCAGGAAGCTGAGGTGGGGGATTGCTTGAGCCCAGGAGGTCGAGGCTGCATTGAGTTGTGATCCTGCCACTGCACTCCAGCCTGTGCGACAAAGTGAGACCCTGTCTAAAAAAAAGGAAAATCATAATTTACTATATGTAATGTATACTTCCATTTTTAAAAAAGCAATACCTTCTCATTAGTTTGCCAAGAAAGATGAGAATTTATTCTTTTTTTTTTTCTATTTTTGGGGTTTTCTTTTTTGTTTGTTTTTATTTATTTTTTGAGGCCAGGTCTCATTCTGTCGCCCAGGCTGGCATGCAGTGGCATGATCTTGGCTCACTGCAACCTCCACCTCCCAGGTTCAAGCAATTCTCGTGCCTCAGCCTCCCGAGTAGCTGGGACTACAGGTGTGCACCACCATGCCAAGCTAATTTTTATACTTGTAGTAGAGATGAGGTTTCGGGCCATGTTGGCCAGCTGGTCTCGAACTCCTGGCCTCAAGTGATCTGCCTGCATTGGCCTCTCAAAGTTCTGGGATTACAGAAGTGAGCCACTGCATCAGCCTAATTTTTGTATTTTATTTTAAAATAAACCAGTGCCACTTGCCAAGAGAATTAATTAAATAAATATCAAAGAAAAAACACTTTGAACAGCTAGGAGATGGGACTAACAAATTAGTATTTGACTTAATAGGCACATCCAAAGAGGTACTTGTTCTATTTAGATTGTTCCCAATTATTAATATTATAACTGTTAGAACAAGTATAAACTTTGAACCTGCTTTTGAACTGTAATATCACAAAGTATTAAAGCAAGATTTTCAAAATTGATCAAGTATATTCCAGCATATTGCTCTTACCACATTACTGCTATTGTGCCAGCAAAATGGTTTGTTGGCACTTTAGTACATAAGACAAAATGATTTTAGACTGGGCATGGTGACTCACACCTGCAATCCCAGCACTTTGGGAGGCTGAGGCGGGCAGATCACGAGATCAAAAGATTGAGACCATCCTGGCCAACACAGTGAAATGCTGTCTCTACTAAAAATACAAAAATTAGCTAGGCATGGTGGCACGTGCCTGTAATCCCAGCTACTCAGGAGGCTGAGGCAGGAGAATCGCTTGAACCAGGGAGTCAGAGGTTGCAGTGAACTGAGATCGTGCCACTGCACTCTAGCCGGGTGACACAGTGAGACTCCATCTAAAATAAATAAATAGATTTTTTTTACTCCCTGTTTATTGCATATTTGAAACTTTTTTCTGTATTTTCTAGTTCAAGATATACGTAACATTGATGTAGGAGCACATTACATGGGGGTGTAGGCACAAGATTTTCTTACTAGTGGAATGGTGAACCAAAAAGTGTAGAGGCCACTGGACTGAAGGAGGCCAGCTGAATTAGTGAAAATATTCAAAGCCAGTGTTGTTGTTTTCAGCAGTTAGTAACTATAAGTAGATGAATATTTACCAGGAAACATTGGTCTTTTACCCACTTTGGCATGCTTCTTATTTAGTACGATCGTTCTATCATGACATTCAGTGAACATTTATTGAGTGCCTACTGTGTACCAGGGACTAGTAATCATGTTAAGTTTATAAGCTTTGTTAATTTCCACCACAAACCCATAGGACCTCATGTTATTCTCGTAATAGAGGAAACTGAGATTCCCAGTGTTGAATGAAAGCCACACAGTATCACATGACCAATATCATGTGATTGCAGAGTCAGGACTCAAACCCAGCTCTTAACCACCACGCTATACTGACGGCCCTTTCCCAGTTCACAGGGAAACATCAGGAACAGGGAGAGAATTTTCAAAATATTAAGCTTACCCCATAGAATTTTCTGAAGAACTTTGGTGTATGTTGCCACTTGTTCACTAACAAGTTCTAGCAGATGATAGAACAAGTGAGGAAGTAGCTAATTAATATTAATTAACAATCTCAGAATTTTTCTGAGTGAATAGACCTGAATATTCAACAGTCTCAAATATTTGACACCATTTAGTGGACACAGACTTGACTCGATATGCTTATTCTACCAAGTTATTCCTGGTTTACGTGACACAACTGAATATATGCCAGTTTCATGGCGGACTCTCAGAGATTCTGAAGGTACCTAATCAAGTTGGTACAGTGGGAAGGAGAGAGAAACAGAAGCCTCATTTGTAAAACAGTACTTGAGTTTGTGCGTGAAGAATGGATAGGATTTAGATTGAGATGCATGGAAAGGGGACAACCATAAACAACTGTAGAGAAGCTGGAACTCGAGCTGTCCTGTAGGCAGCAGGGAAGCCTGGAGGCACATGGAAGCCAGGAAGTGGTGGGCACGGGACACTTGACAATGCAGTGCATAAGCTCAAGGTCAGACGGGTAGAAGTCCCGTAAGATGTCAAGGAAAACTGCTTTTATTAAATATCTTAATTTTTGGCAGAATCATTTTGTCTGATACAATGTGATGGGTTTAGTACCATATTACATTTCACATGTTGTTATATTCTGAAATCTGAAACAATTTTTTTTTTTAAATCTAGGAATATTCCCTGGGCTTTTGAGGCTATAAAGAAAGCAAGTGAATGGGTAAGAAGAACTGAAGGACAGTACCCATCTATCTGCCCACGGCTTGAACTGGGGAAAGACTGGGACTCTGCCACCAAGCAGTTGCTGGGACTCCAGCCCATAAACACCGTGTCCCCTCTTCATAGAGTCCTTCATTACAGTCAAGGCTAAATCAAATGAAACTGAATTTTAAACTTTTTGCATGCTTCTATGTAGAAAATAATAGAATGATAATAGATACTTATAATGAAACTTCATTAAGGTTTTATTCAGTGTAGCAATTACTGTCTTTAAAGTAAGTGGAAGCAGAATTACTTTAATCAACTAACAAGCAATAATAAAATGAAACTTAAAATATTTCAGTTTTCTGTGTCTCCTTGTTTTTTGTTACTTTTTTTTAATATTTTTTATTTTTTTGAGACAAAGTTTTGCTCTTGTTGCCCAGACTGGAGTGCAGTGGCGTGGTATCAGCTCACTGCAATCTCCTCCTCCTGGGTGCAAGCAATTCTCCTGCCTCAGCCTCCCCAGTAGCTGGGATTATAGGCGCCTGCCACCACACCCTGCTAATTTTTTGTATTTTTAGTAGAAACAGGATTTCACTGGGTTGCCCAGGCTGGTCTCGAACTCCTGACCTCAGGTGATCCACGCACTTTGGCATCCCAAAGTGCTGGGATTACAGGCATGAGCCACTGCGCCAGCCTGTTGTTGTTTTAGAGATGGTCTCAATCTGTCTCCCAGGCTGTGGTGCGATCATAGCTCACTGCAGCCTCAAACTCATGGGTTCAAGGGATAGTCCCGCCTCAGCCTCCCAATTAATTGAGACTACAGGCATGTAGTCCCACCCAGCTAATTTTGGGGTGTACTTTTTGTAGAGATGGGGTCTTGCTATGCTGCCTAGGCTGGTCTTGAACTACTGGCCTCAAGCGATCCTCCCACCTCAGCCTCTGAATGTGTTGGGATTACAGGCATGAGCCTCTGCACCCAGCTAGTGTTTCAGAGCTTTAAGGTGATGAGAGATGCTTGCTTCTGGATGGTCCTGGGAGCCTGTGTCCTCACATTGAGGAGTCCAGTGGAAAGCTGGCTCAGCTGGACTGAGCAAGCTGAGAAGAAACATGGTCTTTCGTAGGGGATCTGTCAGGGTGGTGGGAGAAATTATAAAAAATAAGTTGTAGGAAATAGACACAAACCATCTTGGAGGGCCAGGAGGTTTGCATAGCTTTAGTAAAAGATTTGGCTGAAGGCAGCTGAATTCTCTTAAGAGCTTAGGGCGTGGATACATAGGAATGTAGAGGAGTTTAAATAGCTTGTTTACTCATGTGCTCCTAAGACCGAACTTTGATCATTTGTGGGTGCATGACTGCTCTCTACTCAGAAGGTCAGCAATGTTAATTACCCTCTAGTGGTGTCTACTTGAGACCTTTGTCATTAAATCTGTACTGAATAAATGCTTGGAGCCCCAGCCTGTCAGGGCCGTGGCTGCTGACTCTTTATAGCACCCTCCTCGTGTCTGGGAGCTGCCCAGTCCCCTAGCCTGCTCTTTCATGGGATACCTGTGTCTGAGTGCATTTCTTCATCCGTCACATGGCCAGCGTCTGTAGGTCACCCCCAGCAAGTTACTGACAGTTTGAAAATTACACAGGATTGGTTGCTGAGTTGGATATTTTAGTCAACATTTATTAAGCCCATGCCTCAGCAGTAGTTGACTTTTGTCTAAAGGGAGAGAAAGAAATTCTAGTTTTCCCAAACGTCCAATGCTCCAACCAAAACATACTGAATCAAGATTTCCAGAAGAAGATCCTGGCAACTTGGATATTTAATAAGTGCTCCAGATTATCAAGCACATTTGAACACAATGGCCCAGGTGGCCGTATCTCAAAGTGTGAGTCTGTGAACTGGCATTGTCTGCCTCACTCGGGAGCTCATCAAGACAGGCAGAATCTCTGGTCCCATTCGAGGCTATTGAATCAGAAGCTGCATTTTTATTTAGCAGGGCCCCCAGGCGACTCCTGTGCATGTTTATAGTTGAAGGGCTAGTGGACTGCGGTGACAGGAACATATTTAGTGCTTGTGCAGGGCCTTGTTTTAAGAACCCATGATGCTTGTGCACAGTGGAACATCCCATCAGTCCAATTGCTGGGAGAAAAGCTGAGGCAAGACTTCTAGTCTGATATCATATGAGAAGAGCCTTGGAACAAGTTATGAGTCCAGAGTTTAAAACCTCTTGTGGCCTATGGAACACCAGGCTCTGTGCTTAAGGGTGGAAGGCTGCACTGCAGCCTAAGCCCAGGGCATAAAACCCCTCGTGGCTTGGATGGAATCCAGGACTCAGGGCATAAAACCCCTCAGTGGCCTCTGGAATGTGTCCAGACTTGCTGGCTCCTTGCTTCTTGCTCTCCCAGGATCGTAAATTGATTGTATTTTCAAAACAAAAAAACAACCCCATTAAAAATGGGTAAAAGAGCCGGGCGCGGTGGCTCAAGCCTGTAATCCCAGCACTTTGGGAGGCCAAGACGGGTGGATCACGAGGTCAGGAGATCGAGACCATCCTGGCTAACACGGTGAAACCCCGTCTCTACTAAAAATTACAAAAAAACCTCGCCGGGCGAGGTTGCGGCGCCTGTGGTCCCAGCTACGCGGGAGGCTGAGGCAGGAGAATGGCGTGAACTCGGGAGGCGGAGCCTTGGTGGAAGTCGGAGGCTGAGAGTCCGACAGACGGTGCACTCCAGCCTGGCGACGAGAGGCGAGACTCCGTCACAAAAAAAAAAAGAAAACAGAGAAGGTAAAGAGGATGATACAAACATACACTGTCTCAAAGAAGACATACCAGTGGCACCAAACATATGAGGAACATATGAAGAACAAACACCGCTGTTATTGCAATCCCATTACTGGGTATAACATCCAAAGGAACATAAGTTCATACCTAAAGGACACACTGCACTGTACGTGCATCTCAGCACCACTGACAATAGGCACGAGACATAGAAGCAACTGAGTGGCCCATCAGTGGTGGACGGCATAAAGGAAAATGCTGGTACATATACACATCCCGGAATTACTGACAGGCATGCGTCATAAGAAGATAGGAAATAAAAGGTAGATGGCTGGGCGCAGTGGCTCTCCAGGACCTGCCGCTATGCCAGCACTAATTGGGAGGCGTGAGTGGGTGGATCACCTTGAGTCACGGAATGGGCGCAGGAGGCAGCCGTGGCCAACCATGGTGAAACCGGCAGTCTCTACTAAAAATACAAAAATTACCCCGGGCCGCATCGATGGCGGCACTTGTAACCCAGCCTAGCTTGGGAGCGCGCCTTGAGGCCAGGAGAATCGCTTGAACATGGAGGCAGAGCGTTATAGGCGAGCCAAGATCGCACGCACTTGCGCACCTCCGCCTGGGCGCAACAAGATTGCGAAACTCGTCTCAAAAAAAAAAAAAAAAAGAAAGAAAGAAAGAAAAGAAATCATGTGCTTTGCAGCATCATGGATGCAGCTGGAAGTCATTATCCTGAGCAAATTAATGCAGGAACAAAAAACCAAATACCATATGTTCTCACTCATAAGTGAAAGCTAGACAATGGGTGCTCATGGACATCAAGGTGGCAATAATGGACACTGGGGAGTTCTAGAGGGGGCTCAGCAGAAAACGGCACAGGTTGAAAAACTATTGGGTCCTATGCTCAGTACCTGGATGATGCAATCAATCATACCCCAAACCTCAGCATCACACAATATTACCAATAAACCTGCATATGTACTTCCGAATCTAAAATAAAAGTTAAATTGTACCAAAAAACTAAGCTCAAAAAGTAAAAAAAAAAGTCCTTTGCCCATTAAAAAACAAATAGTAAAAGAATACAAGAATCATCCTATATCAGAAATCTGTATTAATGTAATTTATCATATTCATTGATTAAAGAAGACATACCTTATAATTATCTCAATAATGCAGGAAAAGCATTCACTAAAATTCAGCCTGCACCTGTGACTTTAAAAATTAACAAAAACTAGGAAACCTCCTTAACTCAACAAAGAGAATCTACCAAAATACCTACCAAGAACATCATATTAATGACATAATATTGACAGCATTTTCTTTAAAGCCTGGAATTAAACAAAAATGCTATCTGTTCACTGCTTCCATTTAACAATATACCGCAGAGCCTAACCAGTGTAGAAAGTCAGTGTAGCAAGTAAGTCTGTAGAATAACTCCGTAATCTAATGAGAGAGTTTAGGAAGATTTCTAGATGCAGGCTCAACATAAATAAAAATTAATAGCTAAATCAAGGATGCAGGTTGAAATCTTTACAGTAATTACGAAAAACATAGAAAACGAGTATATGACTTCGAAGGTAATGACAGAGGGTGAGAAGGAAAAAATTACATTATTAAAATTCAATCAAACGAAAACAGAACATCAGTAGGAATATAGAAGAGTTAAATAAAATAATTAACAAATAGATGTACATAGAATGCTGTTCTCAACAATGCATAATACGTGTTCTTTTCAAATGTACAGAAAACATTTGACGATATCGACCAAATTCTGGGCCATAAAGCAAGTCTAAACAAATTTCAAAGAACTAAAATAAAAAAATACATAGTATGTTCTGTGTCCACAACACAATATAATCAGAAATCAAAAATTTAAAGATAAATACAAAATTCTCAAATGTTTGGAAATAAGGAAGTATACTTCTACATAACTCATGAGTCAAAAAAAAAAAAAGCACAGTGAAAATTGGAAAACAGTTTGAACTAAGTAAAATAAAAACACTGCAAATAAAAATTTATGGGATGAAGCTAAAGCAATTCTTCGAGGAAAACTTAAACGGTAAACAGAAAAGAGAGTGGTTGACACTCTAAGAATTATCCATGTCAAGAAGTCAGGAAAAGAACAAATTAACCCAAAGAGTACAGAAGAAAATACGAAATATAATAGTAATTGATGAAACAAAAAATAAATAAAAAATAGAGACCACCAATAAGGCCAAAAATTTGGTACTTTTAAAAGACTAGTGAAATTGACAAATCCCTGGTGAGACTAATGAAAAGAAAAAAGAGGAGAAGGCATCAAGAAAGCAATGTACGGAATAAAAAAGGGAACACCTCATAGACATTAAAATGGAAAAATGATATTGTGAACAATTTGATGTCAAGACATTTGCAAAGTTAGATTAAATGGACAAATGCTGGGAAAACTATAATCTATCAAAATGGGCAAAAGAAATAAAATTATTAAAAAATTCTATATATGGAATTGAGCCATAATTTAAAGACTTCTCTCCAGAGAAAACTCTAGGCCAATGTGCCTTCACTGGTGAATTTCACTGTACACTTAAGAAGGAAAAAAATCAGCATGCA